ATAGCCAGTACTTGGTAAATTCGGGCTTGTAACAAGCTATACAGACCGACCTCTGCGCCAATATACTTGACCAATCAATGCGTTGTACAAATTCCCAGCCAGGAGGCAGGTCTGATAGTTTAGGAGATGTAACCTCTAAGCTTTAATCAAGAATTATTTGCATAGTATTAGAGAATATACAAAAAGTCAACAAATGATGTCACAGCAAATTCAGCATAAGAATCAAATACTTACGTTAATTAAAGTAGCCCGGGTTTGTTCTTGCTTCTGGGATTACCCTTCTCTTAAATGAACTCTTAACATCATTCATTCAGCCAACAAATATTTACTCAACATCAGGCTCAATTTCTAACTTCTTAGAAGGATCTTCTTTTCTATCCGTCCACTAATTCTTACTAATTTACCACCTGGAATCCATCTCTCTTTTCAATAGCTTTTGTTCCCCTTACAATGAGAATCCCATTCTGTCTTTTATATGAATCCTCCCATCAGAAGTGAAGGGTTCTTGAGGAAAAAGCTCAATAAATGTTCGATTTGATGTTCATACCAAATCTAACACGTGAAGTTTAATAGTGATAAAGAATCACAACCACCTCTGTGGGGTGGGTGATAAAACCTTCCCTGATCTCACTGGTTTAAGTGTTCACTTTAGCCTCTTTAATCTGAACTCATCAGGAAACTCACTGCCCCATGATATTCTAATATTACTATTTAATGTTTCTTGTGCTTAGGCCTCGTGTCTGGAACTAGAGTTTAACCTTTTAAGGGCAAAGAGCGAGTCATGCTTTGAATTCACACTGCCAGCAAATAGTAGAAATCAATAGACCTTTAACTAATGGACATGAAGAAAAATTAGCAGCTGCGGGGAAGATCCTAGAAGGCAGCAAACCGAAGGAGAAAGAGGCGCTTGTGCGTTAACACCTGCTTTGAGAACTAAAACCAACCTGGACGGTATCTCAAAGCCTGGGTAGCTGCTTCGCCTGTCCGTTTAAAGAGGTGCGCAAGGCAATCAGCAGCGAAGCGGCCATTGGCTGAGCAGCGAGCCCGCGAGCGTCCGCAGACGGCACTAGGCGGAGGCTGTGCCGGCGGCGCTTCGTCCTCTGACCGGCAGGGGGAGCCCTGCCGCGCGCTGCGCTCCCTGCCTCGCCGCCCGCCCGCCGTCAGTCTACCCGCCGCTCGCCGGACGCCGCCACGCCCGCC